AGCTTTTTCAAAATACCAAGAAACAAAAAATTAAAAAGTATTAACAACCTAAATATGTATTGGCAGGTTTAACTCTCACCATAAGCAAATGTTGTATAAAAGAAAAGGTTGAACACAGCAGCTCCACGTTGGTAAACTACAGCTCACGGTCCAAATCTGACCTGCCACCTGTTCTGCAAATAGAATTATGCTGAAACCCACTAATGAACTCACATTCTGTTTATAGCTGCTTGCATGCTATAACAGTTAAATATCGGTGATTGAGACCACAGGCACTGCAGCAACTCTTCCTTCTCTTCTTACAGGAAAAGGCCAAAACAATTTGCTCTTTTGGTAAATTTGGCTTTTCACAGAAAAGGTTTTCTTCCTCCAGTTAAGTTCAGCAGCTGCATGGGAGTGAGGAGGCCAAAGGCATCCTCTCTAGTAGTTTTTATACATTATTTGTATGTTACCTTTATTCATTCATAGCCATAAAATGTCTAAATTGATTTTAAAATTTATATAAAACATCAATGAGTATTTTATATTTCCACTTAATGCACAAATGTAAATTTTCAGAAAGCACACTCTGCACTAAAACATAGTTTTTGAGCAGTGAATTTCTTTAATAGGTTTTCTCCTGGTGTGTTCTGCAGTTCATTGATGTCCAGGGTTATCTACTAACAAAATCAGATGGAAGTTAGGAGGATAGAAAATCACATTTTATACCTCTTTTTCAAGATTTACAATACTTAAGGGTGTTAAAGACTCTGACAAGTCCTGCAGAAAAAAAGGCCTGTTTATATTTGTTGCCAGACCAAGGAGTCTATTCACCTGTCACCCAAGCCAATCAACAGAGAAATGGATGAGAGATCAACAGTTTCACTTCTATTTACAGAAAAGCCAGCAATTCCGGAGGGCAGCAGGGATGTCTCCCCAAACAGCTGCTCTGCCCCCTCTTTCCCTTTGTGACCTTTCATTCTCACAGTAAAAGTAAACATCAGCAGTGTCATTACTCATCACAGCGCACTTCAGACAGACTCCTCCTCACAGGCTACAAGGTTACACAGTATCTTCCTATTTAAAGTGATTATAACTACAAAGCATTTTTATTCTAGACTAAATTTATACTTGGGCAACACTTCACTGGGTGCACAGAGAGCCTTGACTGGTACCGTGGAGTCCAGTTTCCCAACTCATCTATGACAGTAGCCTTGGAGGTGAATAAACTGTCTCCAGATGTCAGCGCGTAGGCTCCTCTGGCCTTGTGAGCCCCTGACTAGCAGCGTCCTGCGTGAAATGGACGTTCAGGTTAACAGTGGTTGGTAACACATTGATTCAATGGAATTTTCCAAACTTTGTCAAATACATCCATTTCTTTCCACATAATAGCTATTTCATGGGTCACCCTTTGAGAAATTCTGTCAGATAATCTAATGGCAGTGGATAGGAGGAGGAAAGGGCCAAAGGAAAAGGCCAGAGCAATAGTCTCAGTGATTCTACAGGGATCCAAACTAACGTGGAGGCTGTAGGAACAGCAAGGTAGCAATTAAAATTAGAAAATTTTAACAGAGGTGTCAAAATTGCTAAAACTGTATCTGAATGTGAGGCAGAGGCAGAAAAAGTGGGATTATTCAAAACAATTCCTTATCTGAGTAGCCAAACTGAAACAGAGAAGATTGATATGATAATATCTGGGCCTGTTAATCATCTGGGCAGACTGAGTGCCTGCTGGTGGATCTGATGAGGCTGCCTGCCCCTGGGTGGCTCTTCAGAGAAAGGCAGAGACAGCTGAGCTAGACCTCAGTTTGGTCAGCTGAGTATATTGCAGAGTAGAGCAGCTTTCCCTTTTCTCTTCTAACTAGTGAAAGGGCAAAGCTAATTTGCTCTTTGATGAACCATACCACCAAGTGTATAAGCTTTGGTCCATGATCACACTGTACGTATTGATGATTATTCCATCATGGTGGGGGGGGGGGTCCAAGGATTGACTCTTTAAATGTACTTGTGGGTGTGGTGTGGCCCAAGGTGAGGCAGATTTTGCTCTTGTCTGTGCTTAGTTTTTGGTTGAAGCTGCACCTCCAGTCTGGCCCCACCACCATGAACTTCTCTAGGGCAGGGACTACATCTCAGGATCAGGGACACTGGCTGATATGTGACAATTGTTTAATAGCTTGCTAAATTATCAAATAAAATCAGCTTAATAAGAGTGGGGATATGGTTGTAATTGTCATATGTACACCCATCTCATCTGTCACTAGGTGGGCAGAGACAGCCATGAAGTGAGACACACAGATGGAAGAGAGAAGCACAAGGTGGAAGAGGGGGATCCTGCACATTCGTGCTTGCCTGTGGCCTTACAGACTGTACATTGTCCACAGCTACCCACCTAAGCAGGTACTAAGCAGTGTTTCTGAACTCAAAACAGCAGAATCAGCATCACAGGCAGTGTACGATGAAGGCAGATCATCTGAGGGCGAGCAGGGAGAGATGGGGACAGGAACAGGAAGTAAGATTGTCCCACAGGACCAGTGATGGTTACAGAAAGCTCTTATATCCAGACCTCTGTAGTTCTACATTATGACAAGGAGGGATTTTTTTGTAAAGGAGGAAGGGTACTGGCTTTTTCAAAGGGGCAATCTCTATGCTAAGTGTTCTACTTAATTTGGTGCATGATGAGATTTTTCTAAATTGAACTCAGATATTCAGCAAATGAATTCCTTAATCATTACCAAACTTGCTGAGGAGAAGGGGTACTGACTTTCTGATCTCCTCTCTAATGCACAGCCCCTCCACTCCCAGCCATTAGGAATGAAAGTGCACTTTGAAATTAGGATTCAAAATAATATTTTTAATGCAATGATGCAATATCAATAAGTAAAGGGGAAAATATATGATTTTTTTTATCATAATGTATAGTTCTTTGAAAAGTGATGCTGGTTTCTATATTTTAACATCTTAAGACTTTTATATCAATATTCATTAGTGGCTTGTATTTTTTTAGCTTTAAACTATTAAGGGACAAATATTTTTGTTACCTGGATCATGTTTTATATTAAATTTACATTATATTTTACATTACATTAATCTTATACTTAATGTATAACTAGGGTGACCAGATTCTAACATCTGTAAGGCGGGACAACATGGCCGAGGGTGGAGTAGGGGGCATAGCGGGGGCGCCGGGGACGGCGCAGGGCAGGGCCTGACAACAAGGCAAACTTTGATAAGCAGTTCTTGATAATCACTTCTCAGCAATTATTTATTACAGTTTAACATTATAAAATTAAACAAAATAAAAAACAAAGACAATGTGATTCTCTCAATTGATGCAGAAAAAGCTTTTGATAATATCCAGCATCCTTTCATGATCAGAACACTTAAGAAAATTGGTAAAGAAGGCACATTTCTTAAACTGATAAAGGCCATCTACAGCAAACCCACAGCCAATATCATCTTGAATGGAGTTAAAGTGAAATCATTTCTACTCAGATCAGGAACCAGACAAGGGTGCCCATTATCTCCACTGCTTTTCAACATTGTAATGGAAGTCTTAGCCATCACAATTAGGCAAGATAAGGCAATCAAGGGTATCCATATAGGGTGAGAGGAGATCAAACTTTCACTCTTCCCAGATGATATGATTGTATATCTGGAAAACACCAAGGATTCTACTACAAAACCCTTAGAAGTGATCAAGGAATACAGCAGCATCTCAGGTCACAAAATCAACACTCACAAATCTGTAGCCTTTGCATATACCAACAATAGTCAAGCTGAAAAAACAGTCGAGGACTCTATTCCTTTCACAGTAGTGCCAAAGAAAATGAAATATTTGGGAGTTTACCTAATAAAGGATGTGAAAGATCTCTATAAAGAGAACTATGAAACTCTAAAAAAAGAAATAGCTGAAAATGTTAATAAATGGAAAAACATACCATGCTCATGGCTGGGAAGAACGAACATTGTTAAAATGTCCATATTACCCAAAGCAATATGCAATTTTAATGCAATCCTTATTAAAGCTCCACTGTCATACTTTAAAGATCTTGAAAAAATAATACTTTGTTTTATATGGAATCAGAAAAAAACCTCAATAGCCAAGACATTACTCAGAAATAAAAACAAAGAAGAAGGAATCATGCTACTAGACCTCAGATTATACTATAAATCAGCAGTGATCAAAACTACATGCTATTGGCACAAAAACAGAGAGGTAGATGTATGGAAAAGAATAGAGAACCAAGAGATGAACCCAGCTACTTACCATTATTTTATCTTTGATAAGCCAATTAAAAACATTCAGTGGGGAAAAGATTCCCTATTTAACAAATGGTGCTAGGTGAACTGGCTGGCAACCTGTAGAAGACTGAAATTGGACCCACATCTTTTACCATTAACTAAGATAGACTCTCATCAAATTAAAGATTTAAACTTAAGACATGAAACTATAAAAATACTAGAAGAAAGTGCAGGGAAAACTCTTGAAGGTATCAGTCTGGGAGAATATTTTATGAGGAAGACCCCCTGGGCAATTGAAGAAACACCAAAAATACATTACTGGGCTCTGATCAAATTAAAAAGTTTCTACATAGCCAAAAACATAGTAAGTAAAGCACACAGACAGCCCTCAGATGGAAGAAGATATTTACAGGTTATGTCTCTGACAAAGGTTTAATAACCAGAATCCACAGAGAACTCAAACGTATTAGCAAGAAAAGAACAAGTGATCCCATCTCAGGGTGGGCAATGGACTTGAAGAGAAACTTCTCTGAAGAAGACAGGTGAAAGGCCTACAGACACATGAAAAAATGCTCATCATCGTGAATCATCAGAGAAATGCAAATCAAAACCACTTTGAGATATCATCTAACTCCAGTAAGATTAGCCCACATCACAAAATCCCCAAACCAGAGATGTTGGCATGGATGTGGAAAAAAGGGAACGCTTATGCACTGCTGGTGGGAATGCAAACTAATACGTTCCTTTTGGAAAGATGTTTGGAGAACACTTAGGGATTCAATCCTTTAATTCCTCTACCAGGTATATATCTAGAAGACCAAAAATCACTTTATAACAAAGATATTTGCCCCAGAATGTTTTGTGCAGCCCAATTCATAATTGCTAAGTCATGGAAGAAGACCAAGTACCCATCAACCTATGAATGGATCAATAAATTGTGGTATATGTATACCATGGAATATTATGCAGTCTTAAAGAAGATGGAGACTTTACTTCTTTCATGATTATATGGATGGAGCTGGAACATATTCTTCTTAGCAAAGTATCTCAAGAATGAAAGAAAAAAATGCAGTGAAGGCTATGTTAACAAGTTTGACAAAAATATTTCAAATGGTATATAAAACCATCACATTATACCCCATAATTGCATTAATGTACACAGCTATGATTTAATTTTTAAAAAATTGACATTTTACAGATACAAAAAGAAATTTCCTAACTGTTTCTCTGTCAATGTTTATTTGGTCTGCTATGCTATGCTTCTCACAGTCACCCAATGATTCTGAGGCATAATTTGACCAATTTTTGCAATGTTTTCATCAGTTTTGCTGCTACTGGCCATCAAGATTGCCCTTCATTAGTGATGTTTTCTCCCCTCTGAAAAAAATTTAATCCATTTGTACACTGCTATTTTCTTCATAGCATTCTCCCCATAAACTTGGACTAACATCTCCCTAGTTTCACTTCCACTCTTGCCAAGTTTAACAAGAAATTTATGAACGTTTGTTTGTTGCTCTAATTCAAGCTCCACATTCTTTCAGTGGCACACAAAAACACAACCATAATGAAGGTCACTCAGCAAGATATCACCACATGTCAACATGAATGCAACCATGAGACACTGATATACCAAGGTTATGAAAACTTGCCAAATTGTTTGTACAGTGCTGCCAACCTAAGTGCATGAGGACAAGTTCAAGACCTTAATTGTGAGAACTTGTACTTACAGACATCTTTGATAAGAACTTTGTATTCATTTTATTCCCCAAATAGCTAAAATAGCATCTCTTGACATCATCTGATTCATGTTTTGGCATGGCTTTTATTAGTAGCTTCTTTGTTTCTGTATGTATTCTTTCTCTTGGCTCCCTGGACTTTGTATTGTTTTATCCAGGACAAAGCATTTTTAGTTGTGTTTGTAAGGGTTAGCAGCTTCTTAAGCACCATGACTTTGTATTTGTACTTTTTTAAACTTTGAGATGGAAATTGTACCTGACACAGTTTAGACCCATAGTTGACAATTGCTGCCTCTGTAGAAGAACCCAAATTAACTGACACATCTGGAGAGGGTTACTGGTTCCTTTATCCATCTGGCCTGGGGGCATTTTGCTCTTCAGAGCCAAGCCCACTAACAGCCATGACAGCTATCTTCCTAGGGTTCCTAGCCACCGTCTATTCCAAGATGAGTGTGGGAGGTAGAATTCTCAGGTACTCTTCAATGACCCTCACCCTTTGCTTGAGTACAGCCAGAACCTGTGACTATAAGATAGCACTGACATGATTATATGGTATGGTATAAAAGATTTTACATATAATTAATGTTCAAATCGGTTGACTTTAAGATTGGGAGATCCTTAGGGATTACCTAACTTAATCATATCCTTATTTGTGTTATTTCAGTTTTTTAGACAATTACATATGCTGAAAATGACATAGAAGGAAGGAAAAGATATGACAAACCATAGTTCCTTTTCCTTTCCTACATCCTTATCCAACAATAGTAAGCTCAAAGGAGAGCATGTTGGTTAGCCTGTGTACATATCAATGTTTCAGTTAGCTTAGTGCAGTGTGTCCACTGTGCTGGTAAGAACACCAAAATGAGGTGTATAAGGTTGGTAATTATTTATGTTGGTTAAATTATTTTATATTTGCATTTAAAACCAATAAAAAGCAAACAGTATAACTAATGCTATTAATAATTTAAAAGTTTAATTTTTATTTACTTAAAATGACATTAAATAACAAACAAAACCCAACATTACCTCTTGAGAGACTGTGCAAAATGGGGAAAAAATCTTTATATTTTAGTACTTTTAGCAGCATGTTTTCCTGCTTTGGGGACAAGGACCCAGGGTCTGCAAACTATAGCATGATTTCTCACTGTAGGAGGTTACAATTATGAAAGGTAAAAACTAGAAAGAAGCTTGTGGAATTATACCGGAATTAGTATGAACTCTCAGTTGTCGATATAGATGGATCAGGTTAGAAATACAGATACTACAGTACAGATCATGTACTATAGATATACATGAGCCATTCTCCATGAAAAGAAATGAGAATGACTTGAAGAAAGAGCAGATTCCAGAGATGAACATGGAAAGATGATTCACTATTACCTTTTCCACCAGAAAGTAAGGGAGTGCTCACAAATGATAAGGTCCTGCCTAACAGAAACAGAAGCCAGGCCAATTAGAACATAAAATGAATAATGACACTAATGGATGATCGCCTACTGGAAAAAGAAGAAATCCACGAGACCACACTGAA